CAACAACAACAACAACAACAACACTCTATGCTGCACCTTTCATGCGGAAGCATGCTTATCACTGTCCCGCTTTAGCAAACAACCCTAATAATACAAACACTGTCAGTGAAATCCTGAAACCATCCCCGTCGTTTAAGACCTGAATTGAATTCGGGGGGTTCAGAAGCAAGAGCAAGAGCAGGAACAAGAGNNGAACAAGAGCAGGAGCAACAGCAAGAGCAGGAGCAAGAGCTTGAGCAGGAGCTGGAGCCAGAGCAACAGCAAGCACTTGCAAGAGCAACAGCAGGAGCGAAACCAACGGCAGGATCAAGAGCAAAAATCAGAGACGCACCATTAGCGGGAGGAGCTTAGAGTTTAGGGTTTAGCGTTCAGGGTTGAGGCCTAGTATTGAAGGAAACTGCAGGTGGGGAGTTTGGGTATATAGGGCTTCTATAAGGCTTCCATAAGGGACATAGACTTCTATAAGGCTCCTATAACAGTAACTACCCACCTGGAAATGTCCTAGACTAGTAATAGCACACTTTTAGAATTGCTATGAGGGGGATTAAATTACCTATCACGTCGTGCAAAAGGTTACATATTAACCTCATCACACCAGACAGCAAAAGCATCGCTGCCAATTAGCGCCTGTCGTCCAAATCTCTAAGCCGCCCCAAACCCCCTAACCGAAACCCGAGACCCTAAACCCTAAACCTAAACCCTAAACCCTGACTCCTAAACCTCTAGACTCTGGACCTCACAGAAACATCTCGATGTACCCCGTATGAGAAGTACACGCATGAAGCAACTGGAAGTTTCAGGAAATAGGGGACCCTGATGTAGGACCCTAAATAGTAGGATCCTTACTATAAGGACCCCTAAATAGGGTACCCTAGTTTTTTTCTGAAGCTACCAACTATCTAGCCGTGATGACAAGCAGTACCTTCGACACGGTCTGTCCGACTCATCACCATGATAATTGCCATGAAGTTTGGCTACCTTCTTCTTTCTGCCCATCACAACCGCCACCATTAGCATCGTCGCCAAGGTTGTGACAACAGCACCCATAAAGCCATAGCCATAACCAGAAGGTGGCCGGACGGAAAGTAATTCTCGTCACAATCCTACCGCTGGCATGGAAAAAGACTCCAGGCAGTAGAACCCTTGAGCTCTAAATCCGAAAATCCCCTCAAAAGCCTACAGCCTTATATCCAAGCTTGAACCCATGGGCCCCTAACATGGGCCCTTAGGGGATTCTATGGTCCCTTAAGGGTATATATAGGTTGTATAGTAGGTATATTAGGGTCCCAGGGTTAAGGGCCCATACTAGGGGCCCATGGGTTCTACCTTGGATTATAGCCCAAACTCTAAACCCCTAAACCCTCAACCCTAAACTCTAAACCCTCAACCTTATAGCCCTGCGCACTTGGGACCCGGGCTAGAGCGACAGCAGCAGCTGGCTAAGATACCCAACAAAGACAAAGCACTCACGGCTGCCCTTGGTCTGTTTTGGGCATGGCTCTTCAGAGGCTTTAGGGGTTTAGGGCTTTAAGGGTTTAGAGTTTAGGGGTTTAGGGTTTTAGGGCTTAGGGTTTAGGGTTTAGGGTTTTAGGGTTTAGGGTTTAGGGTTTAGGGCTTAGGGGGTTTAGGGTTTAGGGGTCAAGTTAAGATTTCGGAGATACTCTGACTGTGGTACTATAACCACCAAGTATAAACTTCGTACTGAGTGTCCTGGTGCTTCAACTGAGATTGACGAATACAGAGGTGTTAAGCTCTCAGGGGAGGAGGTGACAAAAATGAGCATGAAATCTTAAGCCTAATGCCAGAGTTTTGAGTGCAGGGCTTTTGAGTTCTTGGCTCGAGGTCGTCTGGCCTTTCGAATCCTGAACCCAAAATGATCCCAAACCATCCCTGAACGCAAGGATCTTGGTGGAGAGCAACCGTCAAACCTATTCAACTATGGTTCAGTGACTCCCCCGAGCTGTACTATGCGGAGATCTCGATTCAGATCTAGAGCTAGCTCCTCTCCCGTTAGCAAGTAATTACACATGTTCGGAGATACCCTGAACCGAAAGCAATGCTCGAAAAAGCTCGAAATGGTCAACAGGTTCCCCTAATAGTTGCTGTCAAAATCAACCCGAAAGCCCAAAATCGCCTGACCTCCTTGACTCCAACTCCCCGACTTCGCTCTAGACAACTCCTACGGCCTACATAGATCCCGAAAGAAGTCCCATACGGCGAAGGAGCTGAGGTTTGGGGTTTAGGGCTGGTTGGGTTTAGGGTTTAGGGTTTAGGGGTTTAGGGGTCTGATTAGAATAGGCTTTTGGGGCCCATTATACTATGACCAAAATAAGGGCCTGAACACTTAGAATAGGGTTTTGGGGCCCATTATACTATGATCAAAATAAGGGCCTGAATCCTTAGAATAGGGTTTTGGGGCCCATTATACTATGATCAAAATAAGGGGCCCCCAAAATGGCATTGGTATTTAGTATTTAGAGCCCTAGATTGTAGTCTCCATTGTAGTTCCTTCTTGAGGTTACCTTATAGGATCCTAAATCTAAATCACGAAAAGGAACTACAATGGAGCCCATTGGTAGGGTTTATGGTGAACCCCAGAAAGTTGGAACATGGCTTTAGGATGATTCGTGCTAGGATCCCTGATACTTTACCTTAAGGGCATGAGGATAATGATGTTCCAACTTTCTGGCTTCTTCTGTAAAGCCCCATATACCCTAAACCCTTAACCCTAAACCCTAAACCCTATATTATCTTGGAGTTGGAGGGTTTTTGGGTCTTGGGCCTGTGCTTCGTCTTCGGGCTCCCAGGGCTTAGGGCTTTGGGGGTTGACGCTCTGCTTCTTTACGAAAAAGCGGCCCCTGCTCTACGTAGGGTTTCGATTTCCGTCTTAAGATTTAGGGTTTCGATGTCTGTCTTAAGATTTTGGGTTTCGATGTCTGTCTTAAGATTTGGGGTTTCGGATTCTGTCTTAAGATTTAGGGCTTCGATGTCTGTCTTAAGATTTAGGGTTTCGATTTCTGTCTTAAGATTTAGGGCTTCGATGTCTGTCTTAAGATTAAGTTCCCTAAACCCTAAACCCTAAACCCTAAACCCTAAACCCTAAATCGGTTTGGGCCAGCTCTCTTGGGGCGGGACAGCACGTACATTGACATGCGCGGGTGGTCCTGTGCGGCCGCAGGGGGTACTTTTGGGATCCGGGGAAGATGGCCTTCTGGAAAAGAGCACACTTCAGTAGATTAGCTTTCCCTGTTGCTGTGTTGAAAAATAGAGTCTGAGCGACTGCTTTCTGTGTCTGTTCGCGGGAAATTCGAGTGATAGGGGGGGGGGGGGGGGGGGG